CCAGGACAATTTCAAACTGTGACACAGGATAGAAGTATATTAAAAAAATCTTTGTTCCTCCTCCATTGTGCTGTCATGTTGCTCAGCTTTATAGACATTCTGAGCACCAGCTCTGGCCTCTTCGCTTCCACCTGGTCTACCTAATTAATTAAGCAAGGAAGTTACCTCAAATTTTTCTACTATTTGTTTTTATTATCATGCACTTCTTTTGATGTTCCAGGAGTTAACCTCTTAATCCACAGACTCTGTGTGTTGTGTTCTGAACATTTTGGGATGTCTGGATAATTTGGATAATTGGTCAGGATGTTGCTGTCGCTCATGTTAAACTTTATGCCATGACTTCAAGTTCAAAGATCAGTATTAAGGTAAAATACTTCATAAAGCCTTTTTAAAATGCTACACTCAGGATTATGCAATACCCAGTTATTCCAGTTTCTCACGGGGGTAAATTACACTATTTGTATTTTCTTACAAGGAAATTACTCCTAAACATCTTTATCTTTGTCAGCTTCAAACAAATACAAATTTCAGTTGAAGTTACATCAAGAGAAAGCATATTTTAAGGTCAAGGAAAGTTATAGCAATTATCTCCTCAAAAATGCTTGCCTCCTTCACACAGCAGCACGCAATTTTCTGTGCAGTCTGTTATCAAACATGGAAACATCAGCACTGTGAACTACAGATGCTCAACTGCAAATACCACAGTTTTTCCTTTTATGAAGAGAATGAGGTTAATTCTGACATTAAAAGACTTGGTTGACACCTTTGTTTCGTAACTGTACTACAGAATTTGAGAACACCAGTGACAAAGAACTGAAAAAGGATCTAAACAAGAACCATAACTTTATTCACAGACTTTCTAAAGGAACACAAGAATACAGAAAGATATGCAATGTTTTTAATACTGATGCAGGAGATTAAAGTTACTTCAGGTACTCCAATAGCTCAGTTAATAGCACCAGCTAAGGTGTAATAAACCACAATGAACTCCAACTACTTTGATAGTCTTGAAAAACCTAATTCACATATGTACACGACAATACACGTGTGCACACATATCTGCACAAAGACATACATAGACACATTATACACTAACAATATTATACACTATATTACTTTTATAATTATTTTTCTGATAACAGAAGTCTGCAACTGCCATTAAATGGAAATAAACTACACGAGAAAGAGCACTTAAAGTCTTTAAAAAGGGCATGGTCTACCCCCTTAGGCCCAAAATGCCCTTTTGGAATTAACATAGTGGTTGTAATTAAAAACTAGGCAGATCAGCTTGATTTTCAGTACAACACTGCATCCGTCCATGGCAAGTGCCTAATTTCCGTATTTCTCTCCTCTCCACAATATGCAAGTCCTTGGTTGTTTTAAACTGTTGCCCTGGGGAATCTAAGAGAGTCTGTAAGAGGGGCCATGTGCCATTTAGAAAGTATACTAGCAACCAGGAAAAAAAGCCATAGTAAATTGGAAAATGGTTAATCAAACCCATTCAGATCCATGAAACTTAAACAGTTAAGGGGGCAATACTTCCTTACAGGAACACGGAGAAGTTACACAAAGCTCGTAATAGTAACCTATGAGCTATGTGAAATACCATAGCTTGCAAAAAGTTCATATCACAGTAAGTGGATAAAATCAACTTATAATAGATTATACTGTAAAAACACTCAAACAGACGACTAAAAACTTTGGCAGTTTTATCATACCTGATAAAGACTAACGTTACTGCTGCAATTTAAGCTGAACAAAGAAATCCATTTTAAAAAATGAAAAAATTCATTCAATTTCAGAACCGAATTTCTTTTAATAATTCATCTTCAGAATTTCCATTAAAATCCAACATGTAATTCTTATACGAGCACCTTCAAATAGGTATCTTGATTGTGCACACCTAAATTTCAAGTGACCTATTTATTCACTGTAATGAAGGCAATTCTATGACAAATTCAGGATGACTTGCATAAAAGCTTCCAGTGAGTCATTTTATCTGAGTTTTGAGCTAGGTGAGTATCTATAATCCACTGCTTT